ATGCTGGCATGTAGAAGAATGCAGACAGATCCATATCTATTGCCATGCACAAAACTTAAGTCCAAATGGATCAAAACCTCAACATAAATTCAGCTACACTGTACCCCTTAAAAGAGAAACTAGGTGGTACCCTCGAATGAATTGGTACAGGAGACTGCTTCCTGAACATAACATCAATAGCACAGACACTAAGATCCACAATTAGTAAATGGGACCTCCTGAAACTGAGAAGTTTTTGTAAGGCAAAGACGGAGTCAACAAGACAAAATGGCAGCCCACAGGATGGGAAAAGATATTCACCAACCTCACATCTGACAGAGAGCTGATTTACAAAATATACAAAGAACTCAAGAAGCTAGTCACCAAAACACCAAATAATCTAATTAAAAAGTGGGTGTATGGAATTAAATAGAAAATTCTCAATAGAGGAATCTAAAATGGCTAAAAGACACTTAAGAAAGTGCTCAACATCCTTGGTCATCAAGAAAATGCAAATCAAAACAACTCAGCTACCATCTTACTCCTGTCAGAATGGCTAAAATAAAAAACATCAATGACAGTTTATGCTGGTGAGGATGTGGAGAGAGGGGAACACTCCTCTACTGCTGGTGGGAATGCCACTTTGGAAATCAGTATGGAGGTTACTCAGGAAAATGGGGATCAGTCTACCACAAGATCCAACAATTCCACTCTTAGGCATATACCCAAAAGATGCACATTCATATAACAAGGACATCTGTTCAACCATGTTCATCACAGCATTATTTGTAATAGTCAGAACCTGGAAGCAACCTAGATGCCCCTCAACTGAAGAATGGATAAAGAAAATGTGGTACATTTACACAATGGAGTATTGCTCAGCGGAAAAACAATGGAATCTTGAAATTCACAGGCAAATGGATGGCACTAGAAGAAACCATCCTGAGTGAGGTAACCCAGTCACAAAAAGACAAAAATGCTATGTACTCACTCATATATGGATTTTAGACATAAAGTAAAGGATTACCAGCCCACAATTCACATGGCCAGAGAAGCTCGGAAAGAAGGAGGACCCCAGGAGAAACATACATGGTCCCCTGGAGAAGAGGAAAGGGACAAGATTTCCTGAGCTAATTGGGAGCATGGGGGAAAGGGAAGAGGGAGTTATAAGAAAGAAAAGGGTAGAAGAGGAAGGTAGAGGAGGACAGGGGAGAGCAGGAAGGTTGAGTCTGGGGAAGAATAGAGGAGAGCAAGGAAAGAGACACCATAATTGAGGGAGCCATTATAGGTTTAAAGAGAAATCTGGCACTAGAGAAATGCCCAAAGATGTACAAGGTTGGCAACTAACATTCTAAGAAATAGTCGAGAATTTAACTTAAGTGCCCTTTCCTGATAATGAGTTTGATGACTACCTCATGAGTCATTCTAGAGCCTTCATCCAGTAGTTGATGGAAACAGAAGCAGAGATCCACAGCTAAACACTGAACTGAACTCCGTAATCCAGTTGCAGAGAGGGAGGAGTGATGAGCAAAGGAGTCAAGACCAAGCTGGAGAAACCCACAGAAACAGTTGACCTAAACAAGTGGGAGCTCATGGACTCCAGACTGATAGCTGGGAAACCAGCACAGGACTGTTCCAGACCCCCTCAACAAGAATGTCAGTTTGGAGGTCTGGTTAATCTATGGGGCCTCTGGTAGTGGATCAGAATTTATCCCTAGTACATGAATGAACTTTGGGACACCACTCCACATAGAGGGATACTCTCTCAGCCTAGACACATGGTGGGGGGTCTAGGTCCTGCTCCAAATATGACAGACTTTGAAGATTCTCCCATGGAAGGCCTCACCCTCCCTGGTGAGCAGAAAGGGGATGGGATGGGGGCCTATGGTGGGCAGGGGAGGAGGGATGGGAGAGAGAACTGGGATTGACATGTAAAACAAGCTTGTTTCTAATTTAAATTAAAAAGGGGGAAAGTAAAACACAGGATGAATTTTAAGTGCCACTGTGACAGTATTAAAAGGGTAGCCATCACGGATCAACCATCTAAAATGGATTAATGTCTGTCATTATACATAGAGTAGGCTTATTATTGTGGAAAAGTGTTCATATATATTTAATTTTTAAATTATATAAAAGTGTGCATATATATTGTGTGTTATTTAAACTGGAGTCAGTGCACTGGTTACTTTACTTGAAACAAACTCGAGTCACCTAGCGAGAGGAAACCTTAGTTGAAGGATTGCCTACATCAAATTGTACTGGAGTGAAATCTGTGGGACATTTTCTTAATTATTGAGGTATGTGGTAAGGTCCAGCCCATCATGCATGGTGCCACCCCTGGGCAGGTGGTCCTGGGTTATATAAGAAAGCAGACTGAGCTGGCCATGGAAAGGAAATCAGTAAACAATGTTCTCCAGTGGTTTCTGCTTCAGGCTTATGTATTGGCTTTCTTGGATGATGAACACAACCTGTAATCCAAACACACCCTTCCTCTTCAATGTTTTCTGGTCAGTGTTCTATGATAGCAACAGGGACATATGCTAGGGCAATAAGAAAATCTAGTTACTACTACTACTTCTCCTCCTCCTCCTCTTCCTCCTTCTGGTTTTCATCATCTTAATTTACGCGTCTAGGTAATGCCTCATATCAGAAGAGACCGGAAGAGGGGTGAGATGCCCTGGCCCTGGAGTTAGCTGACATGGGTGTCAGAGATTGAACATGTGTCCTCTGCAAGTGCTTTTAACCACAATGCTCTATCTTCAGTTGCTACATTTTCCTTGTCAATGTTTATCAGTCTTGCCTACTACACAGTTCTGAACAAATAACAACTCTCATTATTCCTGAACTATAATAATGTCTTATTTCAGACAGGTGAATTTTCCCTTGTGTGTAATTACTCCATATATCTCTCTAGCTGTTTGAGATTCATCACTTTGGGTTGTCAATCTCTGCTATAAGTCAGAACATGCTAGTAACAAATGTGAAGTAGCATATTCAAACCTTTCGAAAAGGATTCTTCAGGGTAGACTAGGTCTTCCTAATGAGTCTTAATGAAGAGAAGTGTGAGGGAAATGAGAGTCTTGAGACAGCTTCATGTCAGTGTCTCATCACGGAAGTGAGGACCTAAGCCCATGACAATCAGCTGGTGTTTTCCTAGTGTTCACTGGACAGTGAGTGGAATTTTGAAAGTCTCTATCACATGTATTTTTCTGCCATCTACTGGCCATTTCTGCAAAAGACAACTGCTGATGCAAGCAAAGGTGTATCTACTCTACCCTCTCCTTGAATCTCACTGGTTCCTAGGCATCTTACCAACTTACACATTCAAAGGCAGCAGTTCTCCACCTTCCTAATGCTGTGACCCTTAAATACAGTTTCTCATGTTATGATGACCCCCAATAAAATTATTTCATGCTTCTTAATAACTGTAATTTTGCTACTGTTATGAATCGTAATGTTTAACCAGTATGCAGAATGGTCTTAGGTGACCCTTGTGAAAGGGTCATTTGACCTCCAAAGGGGCCACTACCCATAGGTTGAGAAGCACTGATCTAAGGGATGCCCTTAAGAATTCTGATGTAGGAACAAAATCAAAAGGTCTACAATGAGGCAATCCTGGGACAGGGTATTGAGAGATTGAGTTATCTGTCAGCATCTAATCCAGTCACTTGTCCTTTCCAGCCCGAGTTACACGGCCTAATTTCTACTAGCTCTAGCATCCCTCAGATATGAACAAGCATCACTATCTATACTTCATTCTCTTCAAGACTAATTTATAGTATTGTGATATGTCTAAGAGATCTCTAATCATGCTACCTTTCAATCCTATTGATCATTGGTTTTATTAAAACACAGTTTAGTAACTATACTGACCTTTAAAAAATTCCTATATTTTCTCTTTTGACTGTATGTTTTCTATCTTACTGAATTCCATCTTTATTAATATTTTCTTATTCCTACTGCAGGTTTAGCTTCCTCTCCAGTTTCGGTCTTCTTAAGGTTCACATGTAGATCACTGGTTATGGGAATCTCATTTCATATCTATGTGAACATAGAAAGCTGTAAATTTCCTGTGAGCACTAATGATTTGCATTCTCTGCATTTTTCATTGTTTCTGCTTTCATTAAAGCTGAAGATACTCCTTAATATCCCACGGATTTAATATCTGCTTGATATGTTCACATGATGAGTATTGACCTAATTTCTAATGTTGGAAAAATTATCAATCTCTTTTAACACATTATACAATTTGTCATAATTAAATAATTTCCTCTGAAGGATTTAGTTTCAAAAGATGTATTAATATTTTTATGCTCCAACATGTGCATTTGAAAAGTGTCTGCAGTAATTGGGTGTAATGTTTTTGTAACTATAAATTAACTAAATTTGGATATTGTTGTTCACATATTCTGTATCCTTATTTATCTATTTATTTATATTTATTTACCTATCTACTTATTTTTGCCTACCAGTTCTGACCGTTTTTACTAAGCACACAATGTTGAAATCTACACCTATCCTCATGAACTATTTCTCTTTTGAGTTGGTTCGGTCCACAGAATCTCTCCTTGCCAGTGGGGAGGGCTCGTGCAGCCGGCACATACCAGCCCTAAGCTGCCTGCCTTTGCTTCCCAGTGCCCCTGCCCGCACAGGCTGGCGAGGTCCGAACTCCCAAAAGTAGAGTCCCGCCTCTTGCTTCAGCATCCTAGTCCCATAGGCTGACTGGACTGCGGGCGACGTTCTGATTGGAAGGAGCGACTGTCCGTCAAGCATACGCCCCGCCCCACAACCGCCCTGCGTCTCTTGTTGAATAAAGGACAGTGAAGTTGTCCCAGTTCTGAGAGAGCGAGCTCATTGGTTGGGCATGCTCTCGTTCCAGTCAAGACAGGCACAGGCCCAAGGTTTCGGTTAGAAACAGAGAGATGTCAGTCAAGGAATGGCATTTACCAATTAGCGCACAGTATTTGCAGAGGCGCTGCCGGAATGGGGAGGAGCATAAGGGAAGGGCTACTCTTGATTGGGTGAAAGGAACCAGGCTCCGCCCTCTTGACCCAGCGTGCAAGCTGCGCCCTCTCCAGCCCTGGGTACAAGAAGTGAGCCGCTCTCACCACACTACTTCACAACCGAGCCTGGGAGAGGGTCGCTCAACGATTCCATAGAGTTCCGTCGGAGTCCTGTGCCGCCTCTACGGTGAGGGAACGCAGCGTGCGACGACCATCGGTGCTGAGGGGAGTAAATACCGCTGTGAGACCGGAAGTGCCTCGGGAGGCGTCGCTTCCGGAAGTGTGGCATATCCTCACCACACCAGGAAGTGTGGTGCCGCGGCGGCTCCTGCTGTCCACCCAGTTGGATGTGGGCTTGAAACAGGTGTTAATGTATCGTTGTTTGCGGAGGCTCATCGGAGCGTCACCCTTCCGAAAGTGCCGGAGGGTGCAAGTATTTTATCATGTTTTTGAATGTCGCGTCCTGTCGAAAACTGTAGGGGAAGCAGCACTAGGAATGTTTCCAGGTGGCCTGTGGCTCCCTAAAGGCTTTTAAGAAGTTTTCTGTTGCTGCCCATCACCCTCGATTCCCCTTTTCCCCAGGGATGTGCAGATGGAGGCCGGAGAAGATAGTGCTGTCCCAGCCCCCGGGGATGTGGAGGACTTGGTGGACACGCAGTTGCCCATTGAGGAGGCTGGAGACAGTGAAGGGGGTCACTCGAGCACGCCGGATCCCGGAGATGGGGACCCGGAGGACACAGGTATAGCTCCCCTCAACGGAGTCTTGGAAGCAGTCCCGGGGGTTGTCATTGCTAACTCAAGGGGAAAGAGATCGACGGGAGACCAGTGGGCAGCCTTTGGGGCCCCCAGGAAGTAGCTTGAGGCATAGCTCGGTCAGTAGTTGGTCACAGACTTGCTGATGTAATTGAAATCATTGAGAAGTGACAAAGAAGCCAGTGGGTGTCAACTGTTGTCTGGGAGGGGCAAGATGTAGCCATATCATGAGGGGTCAATGGTAGGAAGATGGACTGTGCTAATTTATCCAAAATAGTCCCATTTTGACACTGGAGTTCCCACATCTCGGTACACCCTTCTGTTGTAGGGAAATCAGAATATACTTGACCTGAGCTTAGATCCTTAAACAATCAAGAAGGGTGTGGTTGGGTTCAAAAAGGGTTATCTTGACAGGTAATGGGAATTGAAACAAGTTACTTGGGTACTTGGAAACATTGGATTGCCCGTGCACAGTTAAGAAAATATGAAAACACTGGATGTAAGAAAATTAGGTGAGGTTGCAAATAGATGGTTGTCATTGCATGTCTCAGACCTCAGTGGCAGTGAGAATGGATATGTGTCGAGGGAAGCAAGGGGCTTCATTATGGATTTAAAATGATAATCTTGGGGGAAAACAGTGAATATCACAAAAGCCTTATGTGTTAGTAATGGTTAATGGTGGCCATTGGTGGAGTGGAGAGACATGGAGCTGTCATGTAAGGTTATTGAAGATGAAAGTGTTGGTGGCATTAATATGTACTTGTTGGGTTGTTGATGTAGCAGTATAAGTAAATAGGGGAGTGGTTGAAGGTTAAGGGAGTCCTGAAGATCTGGATGTCAGTGGCTGTTAATGGCCACTGTAACGGGAGAAATGAGGATCATCACTGGGAGTATGGTTAACCAAGAGAGTCAGTGGGCATCACTGGAGATCAGTGGATGAGGCCAAAGAAGGATTAGGGGAGTCAGTGGGCGTGTTTTAATGGTGGCCACCGAGGGGTAAGTACACATCAGGAGAAGAAATAAGGGGTCAGAGAAGTTAATGGAGATAATAGTTGTTTGGAGAGTGGGGTGCTTTGAAGACTGAAAGGACAGAAAGGAGGGGCCAGGGAGCAGCAGTGAGGACATGTTGGATTATTTGTGCTTTAGGGTGGGGCTCATTGAAACCTTAGCATTAGTGGACTTAGGTAGAACTTCCCAGCCATTGTCAGCCATTGTTCACTGAATAGCTAGGGAGATATATGGAGATCCTTGTCAGCATGCTTGGGTCCCTGGGAGTCAGGGGACTGGTAAGGATTTGATAGATTGTTGGGAGTTAGTGGGAGATGAGCCACTCAGGGCTCCCTTTCAGGATCCAAGGCCAAGGACCAGTCACCCAGCCTCCTGTCACCTGGGCCTCAGGCTGAGGCCCCATCAAGCACTTGTGAGCCCTGGAAAACCGCAGCTTCAGACGGCAATCCTGGAGAACCTGAGGGTAGCTCTGAGGGCCAAGGAGAGGACCCCAGTGATGGGGACCCCAGTGACGGGGACCCCAGTGACGAGGACTGGCGCAGCCAACGGAAGCACGTGTTTGTGCTGAGTGAGGCAGGCAAGCCCATCTACTCACGGTATGGTAGTGTGGAGGCACTGTCTGCCACCATGGGTGTGATGACAGCGCTCGTGTCCTTCGTACAGAGTGCAGGAGACGCCATCCGAGCCATCTATGCTGGTGAGTGAAGAGAAAGGGGGGCCTGCTGGGGGCTGGGGGTTAGAGTCTGTGTAACTACCCTCAGTAGATTGTCTGCCGGCCTACATGAGTCTGTCTAGCCACCAGAAGTGAGAGTGACTGGAGGTCCATCTCTTTGGGTTTCATCCGAGTGGTTGACAGTATACCACCTAGTTGTCTGGGAGTGAGGAGGCGTGCTGTGTGACCTGGCTTTGCATCACCCTGGTCCCATGCTGCCTGTCTAAATTACCTGATTCCTCCACAGCCCACATAACTTTACATATGTCCCAATACCCCTAGCTTGTCCTTGCCCTAATTTTGGTGCTGGTAGAGTAAGAGTGCAGGCTCAGTGCTGTGTGTGCTGGAGAGTGTTTGGGAAAGGTGTCCCATCTGACCCCCTGGCTCATTCCTGGTCTGCCTCTGCCCCTGCCCACTCTTCCTTCCCCTAGAGGACCACAAGCTGGTGTTCCTGCAGCAGGGTCCACTCCTGCTGGTGGCTGTGTCCCGGACTCCTCAATCAGCAGCACAGCTACGGGGTGAGCTGCTCGCAGTGCACGCACAAATTGTGAGCACACTAACACGTGCAAGCGTGGCCCGCATCTTCGCACATAAGCAGAACTATGACCTACGTCGTCTGCTGGCTGGCTCCGAGCGCACACTGGACAGGCTCCTGGACAGTGTGGAGCAAGACCCAGGTGCCCTGCTTCTGGGTGCTGTGCGCTGCGTGCCTCTGGCCCGTCCACTACGGGACGCCTTGGGTACACTACTGCGGCGCTGTACAGCCCCAGGGCTGGCCCTGTCAGTGCTGGCTGTTGGTGGCCGACTGATAACAGCAGCCCAGGAGAGGAATGTGCTGGCTGAGTGCCGGCTGGACCCAGCTGATCTTCAGTTACTGCTTGACTGGGTGGGTGCACCAGCCTTTGCAACAGGTGAGGCATGGGCACCTGTGTGCCTGCCTCGCTTCAACCCAGATGGTTTCTTCTATGCCTACGTGGCCCGCCTGGATTCCATGCCTGTCTGCCTGCTGCTGCTTGGTACCAACCGTGAAGCCTTCCATGCCATGGCTGCCTGCCGGCGCTTGGTTGAAGATGGGATGCACAACCTTGGTGCCCTGCGTACTCTTGGGGAGGCTGCCAGCTTTTCTAATGGACCAGCGGCCAATGCCCCTGCCTACAGTGTGCACGCTGTGGGAGCACCCGGCCTCCGGCATTTCCTCTATAAGCCACTGGACATCCCTGACCAACACCGCCAGCTGCCACAGTTTACCAGGTGGGCCCAGACTCCACAGGCGATTCAAGACACATCTAACCAGGACTGTCAGCATCTTGTACACATGAGTTAGGAGAGATAGCCAGCCATGCGCTAGAAAGGGGGAACAGTTCTCTGTCCTAGTGGGGAAAAGGCTCTCCTTCCTAGTTTAATGGAGGCAACTTGGCTTACAACGCTGGAAAGCCTCTAGTCTACTGTGGGAGGCTGAGCCCTATAACCTAATTGCAGTCTCTAGACTGCAAGGGGAGGCAGGCCCTTGACTCACAGTGCCACTGCCTCCCTCTGTTGCAGTCCTGAGCTGGAGGCCCCATACAGCAGAGAGGAGGAGCGACAGCGACTGTCGGACTTGTATCACCGCCTGCATGCTCGCCTCCATAGCACCTCCCGGCCCCTGCGCCTCATTTACCACGTGGCTGAGAAGGAGACACTGCTGGCCTGGGTGAGTTGGTCAGGCTGTCAGTAAATTCGTTTCCTCCTGCAAGCCTGCTTTGCCTGTGATTAACCCTTTAGCTTTAGCACCCCCCATAGGCACACTGGAACTTGGCCAGGCTTTGCCTTTACCTGTACCACTCTGGGTACACATGTCTTAAATTACTGAAGGATTTCTCACTGTCTGCAACGCTACCTTAGCCTGCCATTCCTTTGCTTTCCCCCATGAGCAGCCAGGACAGGGTCTTGGACTTTCAAGGATCCCATCTGCAGCTATCAGTGTGCTTGCCAATTCCCTGTCTACCGGTGTAGAGTCCCTGGCTCTCCTTGACCATGGCTGGTTCAGGACCACTCCATACCCTCTACCTGGAGCGACCTTCCTGTGGGACCATAAAGATCCCACAGCTACCGAGGGAGGCTGGAACCTTCCCCACCGGGTTCTTTAAATAGCAGTACATATTAGTATGGATCCAGCATTGTTCTAGGCTAGGATTTTTGTTGTTTTTAATTTTGGAGTTGGAAGTGGCAAAGTTAGTATAAAGGATTACCACAGAAAAACTTTTCACTCACTTTCTGCAAAGGTAAACTTTCACAAAACTCTAGTGGTGTGCCATAGCAGGAAGTTAACACTGCTCTGACATAGAATCAATCCAGGCGTTGTTAGCATTCTGCCAGTTGTCTGTTGATGTCAACTTACTGGTCCAAAACCCAGCCCAGGATCACATGGTGGGTCTGTTTTTTTATGTACCCTGTTCTCATTTGTTCTGGAAAGGCTCCCCAAGCTTTGTTTCCTTGTGGCCTTGGCACTTTCAAAGGACATCGGTAAGCTTGCCTGTTGAGTGTCCCTTGGCTCGGGTCTTTCTCTTGCTGAACCATGATCAGAGTCGTGCAGCAAGTGGCGTGAGCCAGTTTCCGCACTGTTTCAAGGGCATGCCATGCAGGCTTGGTTCACTTAGTTAAGTTGGAACCTGTCACATTTCTGCTACAGAGTTAGTGTCCACCCTTTGTATTCAGCAAGCACCTGTGGCAGCTATGGCCCATGCAGTTGTAGTTTCAGAATCCTCCTCCTCCCTTTCATTTTACTATGCCTCCATGATCTGAACTCACTAGGTGTTTGCTGGCGGGGGTTGGTGGGGGAGGTTCTAACCGCCATACTTTTTACATTTATAGTTGGGACGTTGTATAAAAACAAACTTCTTATTGGGTTTTTTAGGTTAAAAATTACATTTATTTAGTTAGCATGTATGTTATGCTCGCACACATGTGTTGAGTATAGAGGCCAGTAGACAGCTTGTGGGAATCTGTAACTCTCCTACCAGGTTGTTAGGCTTTGTGATTAAGTAAGTGCCTTCATCCACTGAGCCATCTCACTGGCCCCAAATTTTATATTTTATGTGAATATGACCTCATGAGATTTCTGTTGAATTTGGTAGTCCAAAATATTTTCTAGCATATATGGCAGTTATTTCTGACTTAGCCAGTGACTCCCTGGCAGCCTGGTCCGTCATGAGCACAGCTTGCTAACTTTACTTACCATATCCTTCCCAGACTCAGCCATTTTACCTAGGAGCCTCTTACCATCTTTTTCTAAAGAATTGACATTTTAAAACCAGGATGTAGCCGGGCGTTGGTGGTGCACGCCTTTAATCCCAGCACTTGGGAGGCGGAGGCAGGCGGATCTCTGTAAGTTCGAGACCAGCCTGGACTACCAAGCGAGTTCCAGGACAGCCTCCAAAGCCACAGAGAAACCCTGTCTCGAAAAACCAAAAAAAAAAAAAAAAAAAAAAAAAAAACCCAGGATGTAGTAGGTCTAGGTTTTTACGTCAGGTGGTTGGGGGAAGGCTTGCTGAAAAGATGGCTTGGCGATGAAGAGAGGGTGGTGCACTGCTTGGGTGCCTGGGGGAGGATCTGCCTATGCATAGAGAAAGGAGAAAGCACTGCAGATCTGAGGCAAGACTGAGGCTCGCTGTGTTTGAGAGACAGCAAACAAAGGCCAAAGTTCTGGGGCAGAGACAGAACACCAGGGAGAGCATGGGAAGTGGCACAGGAAAGGACTGGTGACCTCTGGGGCCAGGTCTCGGGTTGGTGTGAGGCTCGAGTTATACAAGGCTATGGATGATGAAAACACGGGCAGGAGCACAGAACAGACTTGTATGTAATGACTGCTCACTGAATATTGAGTGCTGTTTGTTGATGGTACCGTTCTCTATTCCATAGATAAGCAAACTGAGAAACATACACACACACACACACACACACACACACACACACACACACACTCAGTCAGAATGACCCAGTTGAAGCACTGACCCAGCTGGCCTGTCTGCCCTTGACAGGATAATCCCAGATTGCCTGTCTTAGCACAGCAAGTCATACCCAATTGCTGCCAATCATGTCCCCAAGCTTCAGGAGCACACGATTGCTCGTGGCTAGCCCTAGCCTATCTGACTGTCTCCTTCCCATCTCCCCAGGTGACCTCCAAATTTGAGCTCTATACTTGCCTGAGCCCCCTCGTGACCAAGGCGGGCGCCATCTTAGTAGTGACGAAGCTCCTGCGCTGGGTGAGGAAGGAAGAGGACCGCCTTTTCATCCGTTACCCACCCAAGTATTCCACACCGCCCTCCACCTCGGTGGAGCAGGCCCCCAACAATGGCTTGTTCACTGGACTCTGAATGACTGCTGGAGTGACCACATTTGGCGTTTAAATTCTGTCTCCACTCTGGAAATGTGGGTAGAAGTCTGTGTGGGGCTGGTCCCCATTTCCGTGGGCAGGTGGGCAAGATCTCAGGGTTTGCCCACAAACGGGAGAACAGCAGCTAGGGGGCACAGGGTGCTCTCTGAGCCCCCTCACGCCCCTCCCTCCACTTCTAGGAAAGTCGAAAGCTCCTCTGCGCTCTGCCTCACCTCCTTAACTAACAATGCTACCGCACCCTCCGTCATTAGCCGGCCCCTCCAAACCTCTTCTAAGCAGCACAGGTTACCACCATGTCCATCTTCCAAGCAGACCTGAGCCTGGGCTGAGGCTGTCCTCAGGGTAGGGGTGGGTAACCCACAAGGGCTCTAGAATTTGGAATGCAGGGCTAGCCTGTGCTTGAAACCGGCCTAGGAATGTTTAAAGAAAACTACAGAAAGGGCCTAAGGTTGAATCTCACAAGTCATTCCTCTGTCCTTCATGCCCCCCTTTTTTTTCTCTCTCCATTATTTTTCCCTACTTAAAAAAAAAAAAACAAAAAACATCCACCAATGTAACACATGCCACGTGACTTCACCCAACGACAGGATGCAGCTTTGTGAAGATACCCTTAGCCTCTAAGGCTCCTACCCAAGAGAAAGAACTTCCTTTAGGCCCCTTTAGTGGAGATCTATGAACAGACAGGGCTTGGAACTCTTAAGCTGCTACTCAGCACAAATATGTTTGATCTGGACGCAGGCCGCTTGCAGCAGCAACCTAAAGAACCCTTAAAGAACTTGTACGCACAACCCTCCTCAGCTGCCCACTACCCTGCTTCCAGCCTAGTTTAGCGATAGGGCCCTGTGGTTGGGCGCATGCGTGCTAACTATCGGTTGCATGTTCTGCGCTTGCTCAGAGCAGATACCTGTGCCGCCCCACCCCCTGGTTTCCTGCAAGGTCTGTAGCAGCACGTGCTGCTCTTCCCTGCCACTGTTTTTCCACTCTTCTGTGGCACATGCGCAGATGCCCCACATTGGGAAACTGCGGAGCTGGAGCGTTTGATGGCAGAGTGGCTGGGAGCTGAGGAGACTGACGACACCAGAGGTAGTGAGGGCCCACAGGGTGGAAGGGAGAGAGGCTTTGGCCCATGGTAATAATCAAGAGTAATTTTTTTAGAAAAAAAATGTTTTTAGCCTACTGAAAATTTTAACTTCCACACAGTGGAAATAAATAATATGCGTGTTCTCATCACCTAGGTTAACTTGCCAACTTTATTGACCTTATTAAATACTTAAATAGTTCATTTGAGGACCTATTACCAAGCAAATCAGGAAGGGATAGTGGTATGCTCACAAAAACTGCCCTGCCGATGTCATTTCACAGCTAGCTTAGATGGTTTACTACAGAGATTTTTTTTCAAGGATTTTGAGAGTGGTTTTCTACACTGTTTTCAAATTTGTTTTGACTCAAATGATGACAACTTCTCCCCTCACTGGGGGCCTAGAAACTACTGGAAATTGCAGTTCATTCAAAAGAAAGTATTTCTCATGGGAAATCAACTGGACGAGCATTTTTGTTTTAATTATAGAAAATTCCCGAACATTCCAAGGTAGAGAAAATATCATGATGAGTGACCCCAACCCTACCTCGACGGGTAATCAAATTCTGTCTGTACCCATCTCCCGATCCTGGCTCCTGCGTGCCAGGCCTGTCACTACAAGACCAAACACGGGAGGTGACACCTTGCCAGACCTGTCTATTCAGATTCCAAAGCAATGGGTGTGGCCTTCAAGAGCAAGACCTGCAGTTTCCCTGGGCACCTGAAACATCTTCTTGGTGCTTGGTACACAGTAATATTTTTTTTCTTTCTGTTTTTAAGTGGATGAATAAGTAATCATTTAAGCAGGATTTGTCTTAAATTGTAGCCACAGATTGGGTGCCAGTTTTCAAAGAATAAAAATCAGACAGCAACATGCCGCACTTTATTAAGCATTTGATGCAGTACCACAGAGATTTGAAAACTTAACATCAACCTTTCAGATTCCTCAAGAGTTAAGAAGTGAGGGACTTGGCTGGCACTGCAGGAAGCTGAAAGGCGTATCAGGTTGTGTTTCTCAGCCACTGACTTGTGCTTAGGGGCATAATACTTAGCACCAGTGGCATCCAGGTGGGGTGGGGTGCTTATGCTTTACATGCTCGTCCACATCTGTAACCTCCATGCTGGGTAATAACAGGAGATTGACTAAGCAAACATGAACAAAGGACAGTCAGTGGTGACTTACTGACAGAGATACAGGAAGTGGTCACATAAATGACCAAAGCTAGGGATAGCCTTGCAGATTGTAGACTTTTTTTTTAAATAAAGAGAAACATTTTTAGTTGGTATAATTGTTTATTTTATAAAAGATGGGCCCGAGAAGTTTTATTTTTGTTAGTGAATAGTTGGGATTGAAACAAGAAAGGGAGGGGGTTGTCAAGAATAGCTACTTGAAAAGAGAGGTAAGCCCACTTTGATAACTGGTGAAGGGCCTTGGATTTAGGGGAGGGGAGCAAAATGGAGGCCTTTTGTGACTCATTTTTTATTTATCTCTTAGAGAAATAGGTAGTAATATGTAATTTAAAATATGAGAGGAAAAGGGAAAGTTGAGCAGCACCTGAGGATTATACATTGGACCAATGTTAACTCCAGATTTTAATGGCTATTTTGCAGTTACTTGGAGTCTCTGTATATAGGAAATATGCACTGGAATATTAAGTATTAATGGGTCATACTATTTACAACTTACAGTTGAAAAACACTCAAACATGGAGGACCTGATAGAGTACCATAGCCTATTTCTACGACTTTTGTGTACATCTGAAATAATTTCAAAATAAAATGTTAAAAGGGGACTTATCTTCCATGGGCTCTTTTTTTTTTTTCTAGCAAGGAAGTTTTTTGTTGTTTTAAGTTCACAGACATAGTAGATTTTAAGTTTTTAGATTTGAAAATTTTGTTATCACATGGGTGCTTGAAAGGGGTCATCAGTTAAGAGCACTGACTGCTCTTGCAGAGGACCAGGTTCCATCCCCAGCATTCACACAGTGGCTCACAGCTGCCTGAAATTCCTGTTCTAGGGGATCTGATGCTCTCTTCTGACCTCTACATGTGGTGATCAGACATACATGCTGGACAAAACACTCAAACAAGTAAAAGTAAATAAATATAAATTTTTAAAAAACGGTTCTTATCACTCACCAGGACTAGCAGTTAAAAGGCAGAGAGAGGCAAACCATGGATGGAGCGTTTGCAGAAGTATTTGCAAAGGCCTGCTGGAGAACACACAGTCTATTGACAGTACATTACATATGGTCTGAGCATTGGAGACACTACAGATGATTGCCAGTCATACTGGGTGTGATTATAATAGCAGAAGAAGCAAATATGGGTGCATGTTAACAGTCCTAGCTCCTGGGCCATGTGTGTCAGGGTTCATCATGGCATTGTCACACTCTGAAAGTTTTCATAAAATGTTAAGCAATCACCTTTCTCCATTCTGAACTTTTTTTCTTTGAAAAATAATGAAAATTATTTTAAATAATAAAAATATCTCAGAAGGAGATATACCAACTTATGAGAGATGATTGTATCATGGTAATGAGATTCAGGGCCAAAGACAAGGGGACATTCTATTTATTCAATGATTTAGATGTTTACAATGTTATTTGGGTGTTAAATTTTTTTTAAGTAAGTGACACATGAAATGTATTTTTTTTTCTGAAAAGTGAAAATATAGTCACTGAGCTGCTGACAGTGGTTAATTCTGAGAAAGGGATGTTGGTAAAATGAGACTTAAACTTTTTTTTACTTATATTTCATGTTTATGTGTGTTGGGGGGGTATGTACATGTGAACACAGGTGCCAGAGAAGACCAGAAGAGGGTTAGCTCCCCTGCAGCTGGAGTTAAGTGGGCTCTGAGGTGGATGCTGGGCACTGAACGTGGGTCCTCTGCCCTTGTCACCTCTCAGCCATCTCTCCATCTCACAGACTTTTGATGCCATGTTCTATGCATGTCAACATAATTTCAAAAATTAAAGTGCAAAGACAATGGAAGCATAAGCACACATTGGATGGGTACTAGGTAAAAGTGCTGGAGACATAGCATGTGTGAGGCTCCCAGTTTGATGTACAGCATCCCCCGGATTAGTCAGTCGAAGTAAAAGTGTGACCCCTTCCCTGTCTAGGATCCATCAAAACCTCAAAGTATAATGCGTTATACATTTGTGTGGAAGTTGCAGAATAAAAAAATAAATGTTCCGGGCGGTGGTGGTGCACGCCTTTAATCCCAGCACTCGGGAGGCAGAGGCAGGGGGATCTCTGTGAGTTTGAGGCCGGGCTGGACCGACAGCCTCCGAAACAATACAGAGAAACCCTGTCTCATAAAAACCAAAAAATAAAAAATAAATGCAAAGAAGTGACCTTATTTGAAGAGAGAATGCTCCAGTTTTATTTCTGTTGCTGTGACAAACTATTCTAATAAAAAGCAACTTAGGGGAGAGAGGATTCATTTAGCTTACAGTTCCATCACAACAGGGAAGTCAGGGCAGGCACTCACTCAAGCAGCTAGTTATACCACAGATCCACAGCTAAGAGCAGAGTGGAACCTATGCAGCCATCTGCCTTCTTCCGCCTGGCTCTCAGCCAATCTTTTCCTCTTTTTCAGGACCCCTTGTTGAATGAAGCCTTTTCCTTGCCAGCCGCTTTGGTTTTTCCCCACCAGTTGCCTGGGCTCTGCCACGTTGTAGTCCCCAAATAATACACAAGACACTGTATTAATTATGAAGCTGTTGGCCGTTTGCTTGATTTCTTACTGTCTATCTCTGACTTAAATATTCACTCCATAATTGTTAATCTAAGTATTTCTCTTACCGGAGAAAGGGTCCGGACTTCTTACCCCTATGGCAGCTACATCGTGACTCTCTGTGTTTCTCCTTCCCAGAGTCCTCCTGGACTCCTAGTCCCACCTATCTTGCTTTCCTATTGGCCAACAGTGCTTTATTGACATACACAGGATCTCCCCATCAACCCCTAACTCAGGGAATAGTACCACAATGGCTGGACCCTCCTGCATTAATTAACAGTAAAGACAGTCCTCTAGCAACATACCCACAGGCTAATCTGATCTAGGTAATTCTTCAACTGAGGCTTTCTTCTCCAGTGATTCTAGGTTGTGGCAAGTTGTTAATTAAAACTGTCAGGGCAGGAGAGAAGGCTCAATGGTTAAGAGGACTTGGCTGCTTTTTGACATGACCCAGGTTGGATTCCCATCACCCACAGGGCATCTCACAACCTCCTATAACTCCAATTAGGGAATCTGACTCCCTTTTTGACCTCTGGGCACCAGAAATGTAGTGCACAAACATACATGTTTATCCTCACACATCAAAACAAAACAAAATACAAAGAAATCAGCATATAGGATCTATACAGATAAAACTACTTAAGATGAGGCCATACTGGCTCAGGATGGACCATATTCAGTGGTAAATATCCTTACAAGAGAAAGGAAATATGGAAAACAGTTATACACAGTATGGCATGCGATGACAGACACAGAAGGAAGACCTACTATAGAGCACTTGGTCCTGGCAGCTGAGGAAAGGAAAGCGTGATCATGGCACCATTTATGGCTTCGAAGGTGACACCCTACAGACAACAGTAAGAGACTGTTCTGAAATTATGGCATATGTACAATGGAAGAGTACACAGTCATCAAAAAGAAGAAACTGATTACCAGTATACCTTGTCAAGTGAAAAATAGAAGATCTGTGACATCCTGTACGACATAGTGTCCTGCTGTGGAGAAAGGATATTTGCCTGTATGTCAATCAACATCTTGGATCCCTAAATGACTTCTAAGGAGAGGGACTGGGGAACTTGGGGACTGAGGCTAAGGAACGTTCTTTACTGTTGTGGAGGAGCACTTTCTGCCTGTGGTCTCTGCTTATAAGCTGTTTATCTTCTGTGTCCAGTTTTCTATGGAAAGCAGGTCACTGGAATTTGAGCTTTTATCATCGATCTCAAGAATTTATGGCATTCTTCCTAGGATTGTTTGTTTGTTTGTTTGGATTTTTAAAGTAATATGGGCACATCTGTAGAATCATGCATCATGAAATATGCATTTGCTTGAATCAGGAACCAAGTAAGTTCAGCCCATTGTACTTCGTTGATATAGACTACAGGTCATTCTTTCTCTTTTTAATTTCTTCTGTCCATTCAAACTCATGTTTGAAAACATTTACAATATTAACAGAAGTCAGTCTTAGAGATCAACGTTCATGTTTTTAGATCTAAATATTGGATATTAAAAGGACACTCAATGTAATTATGTTCAAAAATATTCAGCCCCAAACTTCCAAATATTTGGTCTTAAGATCTTTACACCCCAGAGTTGACTGTTAAGTTCTTTGGCTTCAAGGAAGAACATGCTGTTAATTTTACTGATGGGAATATCTCTTAATGCTGGTGGCTCTCCCATTGTTCTATAATTGTATGAATAGAGTTGAGTGGAGAGGTACTTACACTAATTCCAAGTAAGAGTACATAACCAGTTACAGTGGTAACAAGGCAGGAGATAGGTTATGTAATTGCTCAATATTTTAGAGAAAGTTATGCAATTGCTCAATATTTTTGAGGCCAAGAGGTTAAACCTTAGGAGTTTAACCAAGACTCAGGAATGAAAGCCCACACAAGATAAATGGTGAAACCAAACTAAGAGTTTAAGAGAAGAACAAAGCCACAAGTCACCTTTTCTGGCAAGGACAGCAGTGAATTTCCCACCATCTTCCTTGTGCCTGTAAACAGTCAGAGGGGAGGGTAGAGAAGGAGAGGGGTGGGCAAGATTAGGCCAAACAGAGGACCCTGGGTCCTGCCCTTTGCTGAGGGGCTCTGTCCCTGTCCCAAGTGAGGCCTGAGAAATGTGGGTACAAGTCTTTCTTAATGTAGGGTTTCCCCCAGTTCTCCATAGTGCTGGTGTGTGTGTGTGTGTGTGTGTGTGTGTGTGTGTGTGTGTGTGTTGATTCCTAGTCTTTATAATATTGAGTAGTTTCTCAATAGCATCATTAGCATGTTCACCTGTTCTTTGTATGTATTCTGGATTAGTACTAAAAATGTCAAAATTTTGGTGTAATTCCATGTTTTAGTGGGGTCTTTGTTATTTTTTTATTTATTGTTTTACATTCGGACCACAGTTTTCCCTCCCTCCTCTACTCCCAGTTCCTTCCCCCACTTCCCCTCTTCCCTCCCCTCCATCCATTCCTCCTCCATTTCTATTCAGAAAAGGGCAGGCATCCCATGGATGTCAACAAAACATGGCGTATCAGGGTGAGGTAGGACTAAGCACCCTGGTGGGATCTTGGCTTTTATAAACAGTGTTTCAGCTGCACATGAAGAGTTTCCTCACACCCACTTCTTTCTGCCTAAATTTGTTAAGAGCTGGGGAGATGGTTCAGTGGGTCAAGCACTTGCTACACAAGTGTGAGGACCTGAGTTCAAATCCCACACCCAGTATAGCAGTAAGAGGCTGAACCTCAACATGGGGTGAATAGAGATGAGGGTTTCAGACAAGTTGATTTCCAGACTTGGGCTGGCCGGCCAGTTCAGCTGACATGGCCAGCCTCATGTACAGTGAGAGACTGTGTCACAAAACATACAGTGGAATGTGACACAGAAGTTGGCTTCTGGCATATACATTTGGCAACAACAAATGAGCCTCACGTAGAGGTACTTACACATATGTACAGCAACATACACGCACAAGTTAAGTAAATGTGTATTAGCAGCATAGGTGTCATGTTTAGACCCATCAATTCATTAGAATTTAAAATTATGGCTATAATTAATTTTAAAGAAATCAGTATGTAATATATCTTCCCTATTACATGGATTAGAACTTCATGATTACTTTCAACAGCAGCAGAGTCAAGAATGCATTCTCCTCACCCTGAGTTTGACTAAGGTGGGTTCTGGAGTATCTTTTGTCCTCTTGTGGAGAAGCTGATTCATCCAGTATACACTGTGATTCATAGATGCAGAGAACAGGGCTCCCCAGGTGCCCGCTGTGGTGGAAACCTGACCCTCAGCCCAGCCTTGGCTGTAGCCCAGGATCCTCGCTGTTGTTCTACCAGGCTCTGTGTCTTTCCTGGCTCTACCCTTTCTCCTACTGGTCCTGTAATTCTGATCTTCCTCTCTACAGGGCAGGCCACGTCTTTGAGTAAGACTGAAGACTTGCTGGAGATGGTGAAAAAGCTGCAGAAAGGTCAGGTGTCCTGTGTCTGAGTCCTGAATTTTGAGTCAGGCAAACAGGATTAGAATCTAAAACCTCAACTCACAACTCTGGAAAATCATCCTATTGCGCGTACTTATTCTTACTCACTTTTATTCTTTCAGCCAAAAATGAAGTCCAAAATTCAAAATCTTTAAGAGAATGGAAAATCCTCTACTCTCTCTCTCTCTCTCTCTCTCTCTCTCTCTCTCTCTCTCTCTCTCTCTCTCTCTCTCACTGACTCCTTGCATCAGCCCATTCTTTACATCTTTACATCCATCCATCCATCATCCAACCATATGTCTGCTTATTCATTTTCCTGACCCACAGACAAGCAACAGTATTTGTTTGTTTGTTTATTAGTTCTGCAGCTTGAATACAGGACCCCTGTATAACTGAGCTACTTTCCCATAGCAGCAGTTTTTAAATGATCAAGTGTCATCTAGGGATTCTTTTAAAATAAGCACCATTCATTCCTTGTTCTTTTTAAGCCCACAAATTGCAAAGGACAATCTTGCAATTGGCATTTTTGCTCAGAAGGAACCTAGGAGCCAGTATGTACTGAGTATTCATTTAAGGGCTGGAGCAAATACTGTATTTGAAGAAAGACCTCCTGACCTACCAACCCATTCTCAGCTTCAACTGTTGTATCCACTGATTTGCTTCAAACAAAAGGGAGCCTTCTCTTTTCCAGCTCCCTCCCTAGCTCACAAAGTTCATTGCAGCTGATACCTGGATTAAAACTTAGTATGGAAGCTGCAGGACTAGAGGTGTGCAGTGACCCACCCTGACTGTCTACAGTGAAATAAAGCCTCTGGACCGCAGAGAGTTGCAGTCAGCACCCTGGAGGACAGTTACTCTTCTAGAAGTGCCTAGAAAGGGAATCTGTCATCTTGATAAGTCCAGAGCTAAGCTTATGAGCCCCAGATAGTTTTAGGGGTTGGCAGCGAGACCCAGCAAGAGTAGAGCACCTTTGTATCCCAATGCCTGTGACTCATCTTCAATCCAGAGCATGAGAAAGTAGAAGGAAGGCTTCTCCCTGTAGAGATGGAAAATGGGCTGTGAGGTCAAAAGTAACTCTTTAAAAGGACACTGAGAACTTGCAAGGTACCACCTGTCACTAGAAAGCCCTGCCGCTTTCATGACAGCTAGGGACCAGGAAGGCAGGAATGGCAGGCAGTCTGTTATGCCCCTTTGAAGAGTGTGGGGCCTATGGTAGGGCTCCACCAGCTTCCACCACTCAGTTGCATCTGTAAGTCTACACTGTGGTCCTGCAGGACCCCCCCCCCCCGCTTTCACTGCTCCTCCTCACTTGCTTACCCATTCTCTGTGGCTTTGGATGTGGGTCCCACCCACTCCCACTTGTTCCCTCTTTCTGGGGTAGCTCCCACTCCATACACCCCTCCCAACAGTGTACAGGGCCTGTTTCTCTCCCTTTATTTGGGATCTTTCCATATCTCAAGAAGCACCAATACCCATCGGTTCTTTAACACCCCACCTTGTGTCATCTTTGTAACTGGTACTGCCACCAGATTGAGTTACAGCCATCTCCCCTACCCAGAATGGGAGTCCCACAAGGACTTGTTACAGATCCCAACACAAAGCTGGTGCTCCAGAATAGCCCGTGGATGTTAGCAGAAGAAATGAAATACCAGATCGCAGGCCTCCTCCCGCTGCCTGGGACAGCCAAGCATCTGTGTCTTCTGGCTCAGTTTGCCTTCTTTCTTCAGAGGGAAGCCTGGAACCCCAGATTGAAGACCTGATTCACCGAATTAATGAACTGCAGCAAGGTAAATTTGGGAACCTAGACTGGCTAGTTGGCACCAGCAGGAAGGAGCCTGGACTGTGAGTGCTTCCCACCCAGGCTGTCTGAAAAAGAGTAAGCCATGCAGCAAGCTGCAAAAAAACAGCACTGCTACGCTCACACAGTACCTTCTTCCTTTCTCTGTCCAGCAAAGAAGGGATCCAGTGAGGAATTGGGAGAGGCTCAAGCACTCCAGGAGGCCATGCATCAGGAACTAGATTCATGTGAGTGGGGCCCAAAGAGGGATCCGGGGATGCCTGGACCACTGCTGGCATTTCCAAACATAACTGGGTGTTCACCCAGGCTGTGCGCTCCCTGGCAGTCCTGAGTCCACATAATTCAGATTGCCCACAGTATCTTGTTATCTTTCAGTTTACAGCTCATTTGGTCCTGAAACACCCATTTTGATAATTTCATCTAAGAAACAGAATCCTACCCTCTCTCCACCCCTGTTTCTCCCTCCGCCATCTGCATTTGCTTAATTTCTTTCTTCGGAGCCTCTGTTTCTACCTGGCATGGTATTTGCTTCTTTAATAGTTCAGTCTTCCTTCCATCATGAACTTGCACCTCTGTTGGCACTTACAGAGGACATGGATGGAGGAGGGGGGAGAAGTAATTGGGAGAGGGGTGGGGTGAAGAAATCGGGTGGCCCGTGTGGGAGATGGTTACGAGGGTAGGAAGAAGATGCCTCACTTCTCCCCTATCTTTGTGATTTTCGCCTACTGGATGAAATTGCAATGGGCTTATAGGATGTAGCCTCCAGGGGCTAAAAGTGTCACCATGTTTTCCAGTGAATGCAGAGAAGGCACACCTAGAGGAGGTCCTGTGCAAAAAGCAAGGTATTCATCATTCTTTATCCTTCTGTTGCTTCACAAATTCCAACCCCCGAGCAGCCAACAGGAGTCCCACTGAAAGCTATTTCATGGGGCTTCTCTCAACTCTTGCCCCTGGCTACTCTTGTAGAGGATGCACCCACATCCTGTCCATTGTCCAAGATCATATCACCCCCACCCTCACCCCAGAACTCTGCCTAACCTTGTTCCCCAAGGTTCCTCATCTGACTGTCGTGTCTGCTTTCTCCACAGAGGCTCTGATGACTCTCCTGAAGCACTGCCAAGAGACGGAAAGTGAGACTCAGTGGTAAGGGTCCTTCCCAGCTCTGCCCCAGCTTGAGGAGGAGGGAGCAAGAGCTAGTATAGTGAGTTATGGATACACACTCCTCATTTCCTTTCTATAACACAAAGCATCAGGGCAGGATAGTTCCCTAATCTTTAAGTGGTGGTGATAGGATAAATTCAACAGTTTGACCAACTGCACCCTCATACAGATTTCTTGGGAACAAGATGGACAGGGCTGTGGTCCCCCAGAGGGATCCATAATGGATCACATGTAACAAAAGGAAGAGAGGCATTCTTGGAGACAGTGGGGGCTCAGGTAGAGTTTGAGGGCAAATGATCTTTCCCTTCTCAGGAAGCATATAGTCCCTTTGTCAGGATTCAGACCAAGGAAGCTGGGGTGATTCCTAAGCCTGGGGGGCAGCTAAGTAGGAGGGGAGTACAGCTTGCATGAAGAAAAGGTGGTGAAGAGAGGAGGCTTTTACAGACCCCTGAAGGGAAGCACTGTGTGGGACCAGAAGGTTTGAGCAGGAGGCACCCCCGACCTGACTGGCTGAGTGGGTCCTAGCCACAGCTTTTCAAGGCTGGGCATCTGTCCACAGGTTGAATGCTACAGAGCAGCTGGAGGATCTGACAAATCAGCGCAAGGACCTCTGGGAGTTCCGGGTAAGCTGTGATGTCCCTTCCAACCTCCACTGTTCCCAGGGCTTTCGTGTGTCTGTGGATGGTCTGGTCCCCAGCTCAGGCCCAGCACCCTGAGAGAGACCCTGACTCCTCTCTTCCTGTCATCTTTGCCCCCACAGCTGGCTGCTTTTCACGGCCCCTCACTTCCATGCCTAGCATCCTTTTGCTGACTGTTGTCATGGCTTTTGTGGATTTTGTGTTTCCTCAAAGTGGCCCATGGGAACCTTGAGAAACCTTCGTTCAGCCAGCTGCAGTTGGGAGCATCAGGCGGCATTCCTGGCAGGGAGAGTCAGAGATACACCCAAAGGCCCTTTCTACCTCAAGCTTCTTAGGGGCAAGGGAATGCATGTCTGTGGTCCAGTGAAGAAAGCAAAGTAGATAGATCCCGTAAGCCTGGGGCACCGTCTCTCGCCTGTTGGCATCTGACCACATATGATGAGCACCTGAGTGAAGAAGAAAAGTGTGCATTCTTGAGAAAGGCTGAACTTCTGGGACATTCAAGGAACAGCAAGTGGGGAGTAGGGGTCAGAAGAGTTGTAAGAAATAGATTCTGAGAAGTATGAGGGGACGTTGGGGTGCAGTGAGTCTGTAGCCACAGCACAAACTGCAGAGTTAAAAACTGAGTGAATGGACCTAGGGTAAGGAAGGAATTCGTCAAAAGTTCCCAGAGGGATGGGTTGGAGGTGTAGTCAGGACAGTGGGTCAGAGAGACGGGCATTCATCCTTGCAGGTGCTGCAGCAGCGACTGACCCAGGAGATCAGCACAATGGAGCACAGCAAAGATCAGCTGCTGATGGAGAGTGAGGCTGGGCAGTGATGGGCAGTGGGGCACATGGCCTCGGGAACCCGCCTTGATGTCCTGCCACTGCCCGCAGGGACTCTACTGTATGCCCGGCTGCAGGAAGTGGAGAGGCGGCTGCAGATGGCCAGGGAGGCCCAGAACTCCCCAGGGAACTGTGGGTAAGAGGAGGGGTATGCCCCTCTACCTGGCTCTCAGATCTTCAGGCCTCCATCTTGACTCTTCCTTCCTGATGCCCTGGGCAATTGCTCGTTTTCTTTTCTCTCTTTTTCTCATAGGCTGAAGATAGAGCTGGAGAAATTTCAGGGGCAGTCACAGAGCATCCCAGAAACCCAGAATGACAGGAGAGAGGTAGGCATCTAGTGAACAGAAACAGAAACTAGAAAGAAGTTAAGTGCATGCCCTCCGAGGTCCTCTGAAAGGGGGGAACAGAGGAGTCCAGGCATCTCCAGTACTCTGACATGCTGAGGGACCCACCAGAATCTGGCAGGTGCAGACAGGAGGGTGTCTGAATAAGAGTGTCCAAGATTCTGGGTGTCAGCAATCTGCTCCTGCTACCCTTAGGCTAGCCAAGAGGAGCAGCATCATTTGGAGGCATCAGGAGAGCTGCCAGGGACAGGGATGCCTGCTAGCCCACAAGGACCCACCAGTGCTCACATCTCTTCAAGGCCTACCAAGAAATAAAGATGATTCCTGGAGTCCACTGAGTCTGTACATATGACATTGCTGGAAGTCAGAGGCCTCAGCCATGTGGTGAGCAGGTGTCCAGGGCATCTCTGGGTGGAACATCAGCTGAACTTCACTCATTAGCCATAGGCATACAGAAGATACTCAATAGATGCTCTGGAGCAGCGCAGTGAATAAGCCTCAGATGATGACCACACACAGGGTTAAGAAGCGTTTACTCATCAACAGACAACCAGGCAGATAATCCTTGCGGTCCAGACCTCCAGGCCAACATCTTCTCCGAGCAAGGCTTCATCTGGAGTTGCCCAGGGCACTGGGTCTCCTGGGGGCTTTGGTAGTCACCACAGGCCTGTTAATATATATCAGAGCCGAGGTAGAAAGAAACAACTGTGAAGGGTGGGAGAGGTTCTGGTGGAGGCTGGTCAAGGAAGTGCTCAGCCCCAGCCTGAGCAGCCACGGGACAGGATGGGGCTGGGAGAGTGGGTTTCCTTAGAAGCCAGGCAGGGATATACTAGTTACATTTTGTTGCTGTGATGAAACACCGTGACAAAAACAATTTACAGAAGAAACGGATTATTTGTGCTTACCATTCCAGAGGACTAGAGTCCATAACAGCAGGGGCAGAGTTTCAGCAGGCGGCTTGATCAGGAAGCTGAGAGATCACATTCCCACCCACGTGCAGGAAACCAAGCACAAACTAGAAATGTGACCAGATCATGCACTCTCAAAGCCAACCACCCGTGACATGCTTCCTCCAGCAAGGCTGCAGTACCTGAAAGTCTGTAACCTTCCAAACAGTGCCTCTAAGTAGGGACCACAGGTCCAAATACATCAGCCTATGGGGGCGGGGGCATTCTCATTCAAGTCATCCCAGGGCATAATGTGCCTCTCTTCAGAGATGGGGCGCTTTAGTGAAAAGAACCTAGGACCTGACTGTCTCCCCTGCAACCCCAGCTCTGTTGTACACAAGCTCTCGGCTTTGAGCCAATAACTTCCCTCTGTCTCAATTTCCTCATCTGTAAAACACAGCTATTGTGTGGAGGACCTAGGCCTTCAGGGTTCTCATATCAGATATCCTGCATATCAGATATTTACATTACGATTCACAACAGTAGCAACATTACAGTTATGAAGTAGCAACAAAGTAATTTTACGGTTGGGGGTCACCACAACATGAGGCACTGTATTACAGGGTCACAGCATTAGGAAGGTTGAGAACCACTGACCTAGACTGAAAGCACATGGTAAGTGCGCATAACAACTCTCAACCAATTGCAAGGACAGTGTAGATAGTATCCATCCTTATTATGAAGACCTTTCATATCGTTTAACCAACACCCCAGTCTCTCTGCACAACAAGTGACCTGGGGATTAAGCAGAATCCACCAGAGAACTAGTGCCCAGGCCAGCAGGGCACAAAGGGGGCTGAGCCCATGGGAACCTGGAATGACGGGACAAGAGAAGGTGAATAACAAGACAACATGGCTGGTCAAGCTGCATTTAGTGAGAATTTCATACAGGCTTAAATAAGGGAAATGAGGTAGGGGATGGGGCAGAGGAATGCAGGACAATGAGGGAGGAGTCATTGCCTAGTAACCAGGCCACTGAAGGTGAGCAAGGTGTTGGCAAGGTCAAAGGGTCGCAGAGGAAGGGGTTAAGTGATCCAAGTGGAATGTTTCCTTTTTGCCATCAACTATTCCTTTGAGCCCAAATTCTATTCATTAGGAAGCTGGGGAGGGGATGGACTATTCTTAGAAAAGGTTGGCAATATTTACAAGAGGTTCTAAATAACAAACTAGGATTCACAATGGCCCTTCCTGATTTCCTTTTGCTCTGCAGCCCAAGTCATCCTGCATTCACAGATTTCACCCTCACCTTTCTCTCCATTGTGTAAGTGAATGTAATGTGCATTTCGTTTTTCAGTGAAAAAGCAGAACTGGGGAGGCTGGGGAACTTTATAAAGACAGGGTTTATTTCGTCTCATGGTCCTGGAGGTACACGGTTGAGAAGCCATGCCTGGTGATGACTTTCTTGCTGGCAAAGTCCTGAGGAGACAGGACTTCAGATTACTGGAGACACAAGGCTTTTCCCGTTCTTATAAAGCATGGGATGCCCATGCTAAGAATCTTAGTGAATCCTAGTTGTTTTCCAAAGCCTGGACTCTGAACACCAGAGCCCCATCAAGTGTCTATCCTCTTACTCCTTCATATGGCGATTAAATTTCATACAACAGTTAGAGGAAGCTTGTTTATTTGGTGGTGGTGGAAATGGGACCTAGGGCCTTGAGTGTGCCAGGTAAGCATGCAATCCCAGAGACACATCTCCAGTCCTAAAAGGGATATATTTCTGCTCCTAAAATCTCGGACTCTCAAACTGTAACAGGATCATTTATTTAATCACCCCAAAGCAAGCAGTACAAGCTGCTTTGACTACCCCCACACTCCTGGAACTTGGCTAGTTTTTGAGAAAGTTAAAGGAAATGTTGCTCTCACAGGTTCTGCCATCACAGAGCTTAGATACTCAGAAGGAGGGAATGTGCTGAGTATTAGAAGACAAGGATGCCAGTGGGGAAGTACCTTGTCAGCAACGGGGCACTTCCCTTATGACTCAGTTCTGTGTGATCTTGACAAGCAAACAATGGAAACAAAATCCTCTGCCAACACTGGAGACTTCCACACAAAATGTAACCAAGAAGACAGTTTTCTCATTTCATAGGCTTTAAGTCAGCATGTGGGGCCACAGCTCAGACAGTCTGCTAAAGAGATCACAAAGACAAAAACATCCTTTGATGATCAAGCAGATGCAACCTGTAAGCAACAATCAGTCTTCAAGTCAGTACATGTTTCACTTCGTCACATAGTTCATAACCAATCAGCATGACCGGCTATGTCTGTTTGCTTTATGCAAGTGAAAGTCACAACTGGCAGTTTTGGAGGAAATTCAGCATTGGAACCAGGCCATAGGTCCTTGCAAAGGGTCTTCCTGGCTCGTAGAGGTGGCCAGCGTCTTCACATTGGAAAAGATTTGTATACAGAAACAGGAAGTTCTAGCTGTAATCCCAGGGCTGGGGAGGCAGAGCTCTAGTTAAAGGAAATCTTAGGTGGGTAGAAGACTCTGTAGATGACTTTAAAAGGCAGGAAATGGGAGAATTGAGAATTTTATTTCCAAATACTATTTGCCCATACAACTTCTTTCTGGCACCCATTCTCCTTTCTGTGTATGAAGACACAAGAGATACATATGAGTGCTCACCATTTTTAGGTCTGGCTAAGGTTGTTTGAAGCCCAGCTGACTCTAGTTACTTTTGGCCTTATTAAAATGTCCCTTGACTTCAGTGGCTGTGATGTGGAGTCCTTATTGCACTGATCCAAACCCAGCATACTCACAACTGGTGTCCATAGTAACACCCAATGATTGTCACGAGAGTCATGTGAATAAGCTCCCTGCTTTTCTGAACTATCCACCCTAAAGCCTGTCAAGAAAGCAGAAAGGGTAATGCCAGGACCATGATATGATCCCCATACCACTGTAAGTATAATACACCTCTGTCTTCTGTTTTCCATCTGCTGGCTGCTTCTACCTTCAAACCTCCCATCACCACTTATAACCTCTTTGGGACTTGGTAGGCCTTAAAGACAAAATATTTGTGGCTATTCCCCATGCCTGGGGAAGGGGTAGGATTCTCTACAAAGAGCCCCCCCAAAACCAAACAATGAAACTATAATTACCCATCTATAGAAAATCTGAACATAGTACCAGCCATCCAAAACACATTTGTGTTCATGGCTATATTCTACAAACCACTGATTTTTTAATTGGGCTGCAGGCCGAAGTCAACAGCAGCCTGGTGAGAATAGAGATGCCCAGAATTGCCTTCAAAAAGTATAATTCTGCCCCAAAGGGACAGACTATCCCAGCCATGCGTGGATTTACTTAAAAAAATTTCCAGTAGATGATGTGCACTGGTCCTTGCAGAACACTTGCCCGGAAATAAGAAAGTATTGATTGAGGTCAAGCTCCAGGAAAAGTGATATCTGGACTCCCTTGCATTAGCAGCACCTGGGAACTGGCTAAGAACTCAAAAAGTTGGCTCCTATCCCACATTTACTGACAGGAGCACTCCAGGTGGACTCAGAGATCTGCGTTCCACAAGCCCACCTGGTGGCTCTAATGCCCACACTTGAGAATTGAACTATTATTCCAGAAAAGAGCTTCTGGTTTTTGCTTTTTATTTGTATTCTTTTTTCTTTTTCTTTCTTTCTGGTGTTTTTTGGTTTTGGTTTTGGTTTTGGTTTTTTTTTTTTTTTTTTTGGTGTTTTTGAGATAGGGTTTCTCTGTGGCTTTGGAGGCTGTCCTGGAACTAGCTCTTGTAGACCAGGATGGTCTCGAACTCACAGAGATCCACCTGCCTCTGCCTCCCGAGTGCTGGGATTAAAGGTGTGCACCACCAACGTCCGGCTTCATTTGTATTCTTAAAGAGGTTTTCACAAGATGGCTCTTGGAGCCAGGCATCCCTGATCTAAGCCAGGCAACCTCTTATTATAAAGTGCAAAATGAAGAGAGCAGGCATGGTGGTGGCACATGCATGTAATGACAGGAGGATGGAGAGTCTGAGACCATGCTGAACTGTACATAGAGACAGGTTTTCTGAGAGAGGAACAACTGGCCATTTGTCAGATTAGATTAGTCCACAGGCCAGTAAAGAAATGTTTTGAAACACACTCTATAACATCTGTCTGAAAAACAAAGTGCAACCCAAGAAAAATTATTTACACCTGTAATCTGCACCTCAACTGCAAACCAGAGACTAAAATAGTAGATTTCTATAATTGTCAGTTTCCTTTTTTCTCTTAAAAAAAAGTTTTATTTCATGAGCATTCTGCCCACCCCCAAGGGATGTAAAAAGTCCATACCTTGGTGTGAATGATAGGTATATCTATGTTTAACCTAGATCCCAGCTGTAAACAATAAGCATATACATCTGTCAATATATTGGCTTAAGGTCTCACTATGTGTTCTTAGCTGGCCTAGAACTTGCTGTGTATACCAGTCTAGCTTTGAATCCATAGGAATCAAGTGACTTCTGTATGCTAAGTGCTGGAATTAAAGGCACATATGTTCCACTACCATCTCAACAAGACAGTCTTTTTATGAGCAACTTAGATCAGTGTGGGGCAAGTGTCACCATGCTCTATGTGAGCCAGGTGACACAATAACATTGAATGACAATATTAATCTTAATTAACTTAATGTTAATCTCTTTTCAAAGTATTAAGAAATAAACTTGGGGCTGGAGAGATAGCTCAGAGGTTAAAAGCACTGGCTGCTCTTCCAGAGGTCCTGAGTTCAATTCCCAGTAACCACATGGTGGCTCACAACCATCTGTAATGAGATCTGGTGCCCTCTTCTGGCGTGCAGGCATACATGGAAGCAGAGTGTTGTATACATAATAAATAAAAATAAAATCTTAAAAAAAAAGAAAAGAAATAAACTTGTATTTTGGGTCAAGATGTCTGAAACACAACTCTAAACTTTGACTATCCCTTTTAAAATAAAGCCATGGGCAAACAACTATTTTTTTTTCTAGAATGTAATTTATGATTATTTTCCTTCTATTTGTTTTTTTATACTCTACTTCTAAGACAGTTCACATTAGGTAGCCAAATTTAGTGATAACATTCCTTTTAATGAAATTTAAATTTAAAAATGAGTTTTTTGATAGGAATAGTTAAAATAAAATGAGTGGGATCAACATGGTTGTGGCTAAGAAGGGCTGACGTGAAAGTTAATATTTCTTCTACTACTTAGGAAGTCTGACTAGAAGCCACAGCTTTGGATTGTCAGAGTCATGAAGAAATGAGGGTGAATATATAAAAACTATAAACACGGGTCAGAACTGACCCTATCATGGGATAAATGAATAATTTACGTAAGTCTGAAAGATTAGCACTGTATGAAGAAAGCTTGGACAGGCCTATAAAGGACACACAGTATTTAATGATATTAACATTTGTTTATCTGTGTGTATTTCTTTAAGTGCACAAATGTGGGCAGGTGCATGAGCCTGGGGAAGTCACAGGTCAGAGGTCAGAGGTCAACCTCATGCTGTTTCTCAGATGTTGGTTTTTGAAACAGAATCTCTTACTGGGACCTGGACTCAGCTACTAGGGTAGGCTAGCTGACCAGCAAGTCCCAGGAATCCTCCTGGCCTTACCTCCCTAGCATTAAGATCACCAGCACCATCACACACCATCAAACCGAGCTTTTTACATGGGCTATGGGTATTGAACTTAGGTTTTCACACTTGTGCAGCAAGCAGTCTACTGCCTGGTCCATTTCCCCAGCTTCCCTCCATAACCATAGTTAATCATCTTCATACACACTGATAGAACTCTAATATTCAGGATGAAGATGCAGTATACTGTTGCTATATCTCTGCTGAGGACATTTCATAAGATATCAATAAACTCACTTTTCACATAGGGGTGGGGTGAGGTTGATAGCAGAACAGAAGTTAAAAACCAGCTGCTGGGAAAGCTGAGGTTGGAGGAGTTGAGATTATTTTGCATGTGGGCATCCGCCACATGATAAAGAAAGCAGAGGGGTGGACAAAGACCTGCTCATGAATACTACCGTCCAATAGAACAATCAGATGCCACGTTGGATATGACAAGCTCCTCTACCAGAGCTAGCTGTGTAGGCAGCAGCTGACAACTGAGGTACAGATGTGTACAGTGGTTGGGATTGTTACAAATAGGCCATCAGGCAGAATCTATGTGGAAAATTTATTGGGGGAAGGGAGGAGAGAGAGCTAGAGAGAAAGAGAAAGAAAAAGAGAAAGAGACAGACAGTGACCTGCCTCCTCACAGAAACAGCAGAGAGGGAACGTAGGCGGAGCTTGTCTCTTACAGGATCTCTGAACTTGTGTTCAGAGCAGGGTACTGCCTGCCACACACAGAGGTGGTACACTCTGCCAGGTCCCCAAGGGGCAGGGCCAGGCTTGCCTGCATGCTAACAGGGATGGTGGATGAAAATGAGGGAGTGCTTTAGAAGTTGGTGTAAAACATTCACCCATGAGGAAACAACTCCTGTACTCTTGGCTATTTGACCAACACCACGGAACACACTACGCTGAAGACCTGCCTTACAGGATTCAGGTCTCAAAGAGGTGTGTGGAGTCCACAGGGGGCCAGGAGGAGAGGCTGAATCAGGATGGCTGTCATCCATCTTATTGAAAAGAGAATCCCAGCACTTGGGAGGTAAAGGCGGGTGGATCTCTGTGAGTTTGAGCCCAGCCTGGTCTATAGAGTGAGTTCCATGACAGCCAAGGCTACCCAGAGAAACCCTGTATCCAAAACAAAACAATAAAAGAAAAAAAAAAAAGAAACCTTTAAACTCTGTAGTTGCAACTAGGGTTACATGGGAGAAAGGAGGCATTTGAGTTGGGTGTGGTTTGAGACCAGGGGTCCAGAAAGCTAGCATTGACCTTGACAATAGACACCAGTCATGTGTTAATGAAGGGTCACAAGGTCCTCTTGCCAAAGGTAAGAATTTGTCTCCCTTTTTAGCAAGCAGGAACTTCCTTCAAGCCCCTGAGGAAATGGGGACTTGTCTAAATGCCTGACCTTGGGGAAAGGACTTTCTTGGGGACTCAGACATTCCATTATAGAATACCCCAGTTTCTTGTATGACTCAGTTTATCCAAATAGCTAAAGCTTACAGTGAGCAAAGACGAAACTAGACAAATACTACTGTGAACGCGAGTAGACCTTAGGAATTTATAAATCTTGATTACCAAATATCAAATACATGTTACTTCCCTAAATTTTCTAGCAGCTTGGTGTTAACTTGTGTGGGAGTAGGCAGAGTTTCTGCACCCTGATAAGCCTCTCCACCAGCACAGCAATCCACATCAGATCATATCAAACTGAATTTAAAAAGCCCACGTTTAAAGGATACAAAGCCCCAGATGGCCTTCCAGACCACCAGAGAGGAGATGGAAAAGAGAGACCGGAAAACCACACATCTGTTTTTTTGGGGGGGGGTTAAATACCTTGTGGGAGTGGTCTTGAGCATCTTTGGGGGAGGAGCCCTGTTTGGCAGGCTTCTGGGATGGGATAGGGTTTGGGAGAGGGAGATAGGGGAAGAGTACCTAGGTAGAACTGCCACCAGACCATTCCAAACTCTTTGGGTATATGGATGCCAGGGGCTGAGGTGGAGCTTCCACCAGAACATATGCTTCCACGGTGGCTGGGAGTTTTTCCAAAGTATTACCATTGTACACATTCCACCAGGGATCACACTGTTTCCCAAAGGGAAAAGCATAATAGTGAGAATCCCTAAAAATGAAAGTAAAAGGCTGCCGGAGAATTGTGACCCACAAAGTTGAAATGCTCGAACTTTAAGCAATGGTCACTATGAGGTCCACTCCTACAAGCTCATCCATGAAGTCACTGAGACACTGAAGTCTGTGAAGACAGACCTGTTACTTCCTCAAGTTCTACAGCTGAGAACCCACAAAAATCCAGATTTATTGATCTTCTTCTTTGCCATGTTGTCTTCAAATGTGGGAACAACAGACCTTGGCCGGAGACCCACTTCCCCATCAGTCTGGGAGCAGGCAGCTGTAAGACAATGTTTACTAAAAACTGAAAACAATCCGGTGTCCATAAGAAATGCTTACCGGAGCAATAAGTTCCTGAAAAGGGCTCACCCATGGGAACGGCCTGACCTCGACCTTTTCCAAAGACTAACCAAAGACTAACCGTCTCTTCCTGACCCACCCACCGCTGCCTCTGGGGTCAGAGAGAATCACCCTGGGGTAAGGAAGGGAGCAGAAGCTTTTCTTGAGGGAAGCTTTTCTTGGGAAGTTTTCTTGAGCCTTCTTAGGGCCTGCTTAAAGGTTTTCTTTGCAACGCCGACTGGTCTCTGTGTCATCAACCCCGACACCCTTTGCACATTCTCGGATACAGGCTGTGTTGCAGGCGCGGCATTCTAAACCCTGTTCCCTTCCATTTCTTTGTGTATTATGACCTAGACAGAAGCCACTGGAGTACATACCTTCCAGTGTACCCTACCTGTTGGAACCCGGTATTACGCTGACCCCGCCCCCGACAATGGCAGATACTTAGGCACCTCAGATACTTAGGCTATGTCACATGTTACGGAGCTGTGTAAGGACTCAGTATGTGTGGGGACACCAGACCTTGAGCAGAGACCCACTTCCTCTTTGGCCTGGGAGTAGGCAGCTGTAAGACAATATTTACTAAGAACATGTTTACTAAAAACAATACAATGCCCGGGGCAATAAGTTCCTGGAAAAGGCCTGCCTACAGAAACCGCCCTGACCTCGACCTTGTCCAAAGACTAACCGCCTCTTCTGACACGCCCAGGTCAGTTTTTGGTGTCAGGGCAGAACCAGCCAGGGTAGAGGAGAGAGCAGAAGCTTCTCTGGTGGGAGCCTTTCTTAGGAAGTTTTCTTGAACCTTTTTGGGGCCTGTTTAAAGTTTTCTTTACATCGTTGAACAAGTCTCTGTGTTGTCAATCCCCGACACCCTTCGCACGTTCTCAGACACAGGCCGCGCAGCTGACACGATAAGTATGCATGTGCAAGCTTCCCCCTTTCAAGCGAGCTCCTTCACCATGTGCTCTCTCTCTCCCATTTCACACACACTCTCTCTCTCTCTCTGCTCCCAGTTGGCCAACACCTAAACACCTAACCCCCCCCCCCCCTTATTCCCTTCCTCCAATAAACTCCTCTGCATGGTTTTGTTGAGAGGTTCATGTTTCATTGCCCATTGCTGCAGCAAAAGAACAACACTTCCTATGTGGCTTTTAGTGGAAGTCACCAGCAGCTTTCGTGGGAGAGAATTTGAGGGCTTAGCAAAACCCATTGCCAATTCAAGTGCCACCCCCACCCCACCTCCAGGACACTCGATGTAGATTGTTTGCTGAGGCACCAACTTGTTTCTAATGCAAATCCAGTGGCTAGTGAACATTGCACTATACTATCCTGCTTTTGAAACGTGGTATTATACCCTCTGTTGTCATTCACTTTCAGGAGTTCTCTCAGTCAGGCAGTTTAAAATCCTGCACATTTCCTGGGGCAGCCCACATCCAGTGCCCACTGGCTTGAAGGTATAAATGAGCCTTGGAGGTGATGTGTAGAGACCTGGCCTTGGTTTAGTTTGGAGCTGTTTAAAGAGTCATATGTCTTCAAAACTCCCTGGGAGATCGGCTGTCACTTTCATTGAAACCTCTTTCCCTACTCAGTACTGCTTCCTTCTCTTCCAGAGAAGTTGATCCTAAAATCATTATGCTGGCTTGCCTTGGTGGTGAACTTGACAGATTCTAAAACTGTCATACAAACAAACCTCAGGGCAGATCTGTGGAGGATTATATAGGTTATATTAAAGCAGGAAAACTCATCTTAAAATGTTGGTGTTGTGCCCAAATTCTGAACTCCCAAATCACCCAAGAGACCCATTTCAATGCAAAAGCAAAGAGTCTTTTATTGCTGTTGTTTAACGAGCTAACCCCATTAGCTCAGGTCTTTCATCCATCCACCACAGCAGATGCCTGGAGAAAGACCCTGAGAAATCATGAGGCAGGGATCTTATAGGGCCACGTAAGGGGTGTGTCTAGGGGTAAGCAACAGTCTCAGGATTGGTGCGTTTCCAGGCTTGGACGACCTGCCCCATGGTCAACTGGTTGTTATAGCCCATAGGCCCTCCCAGAGCGGTTGCTATGCTCTGCACATCACTGTTGTGCACTTGTCCGTAAAGCACATCTAGAGTTGTAAAGCACAGCCCCACTAGCTAACTTCTGATTGGTTCCTTGCCACGAGGAGGGCATCTGATCTCCTAGTGACCAGGACAGGTGGGGCAAGGTCAGGTGAGCACATGTTAGCCTGCCATGGCTGCTAAAACAGGGGGGATGGTCCCTTCAGTTGGTGGGTTCCCTGATGGCGTAAACAGAATGCTGGTGAGTACTGGCAGTGAGAGGTAGGAGGATGCTCTGCCATGCTGTGCTTTGTTACATGTGGCCCACAGGTGAGGTGGGGATTCCTGTCGTCCTCTGACAATTAGCTTTTTATGTTCATCTTGATACCTCCTGTCACAGTACCAACAAGTCCTAGTACCCCCCCCCCTTTTTAATTTTTCTGAGAAACCCAAATTCCAGGGAGATTATACCTTTTATCCAAAGTCAGTAACAGAACACAGAAATGCAGCTAGGTTCACCTGAGTCCAAAAGCTACACAACTTATACTACCCCACGGGGAGTCTGCTGAATGTGAAGTAACAGCTTTTACCTGATTTTAATTCTTCATAGACCTCTAGGCCCTTGAATGATTGCTTTGGATCACAGTGAAATTGGGAAACACTTATCTAAATGGGCTAATATAGTCCGTACTGTAAAACCGCAGGAGATGGGCACAGCTGGCAGTGGCTAGCACCCCCTACAGCATCCATTTCAGTTTTCAAAGCTGGTTGATGGCTCTTTGCAACGTGAGTGACTTTTAAAAGACCAAAGGCTCTTTTTTCCAGACAGTCCCACAGATGACCGGTTTTCCATCAGCCTTCCTGATTGGCTGTTGATTTTGCTGTGCGTTAGAATGGATTCCTGGAAGCTAACCATTTCAAGATGGCTCTCAGGTCTCCCACTGCAAGAGGGCTCCCACGTCTCTCCTCCAGTCTGTTTGTCACAGTTCTCTTCACACCATAAAGAGAAGGATTTAAATTTCGCATGAAATTCCCACCAGGAGTGATCATCGCCTCCTCTCTTCCTAGTGTGCTTCTAGCACGCCCTCCTCCTTGTCATCCTTTTCTTAGTGCCACCACCCTTGCTGACTGCCATTGCCTCTTGCCTGGCTACTCTAAGAACCTATTTCTCACTCTGCCTCTGGTCTCATCAAATTCCCATTTATCAACCTCAGTATGATCAGAAACAACTAACTTATACCGCTTCATTACATTGGGGATTTCCTGTGAACTACAGAGTTAAGCCCCAAATCCTGGTTCCAGAAAGCCGGCCCCTACCTCCTAGTCTTGTGCGAGCATGCCTTTCCAGTGCCACCTCTCCACTGCTCTGGATCCCTGCCTGTCCACCTCCAGATCTCCCAGGGCAGAAATTGTTTTATGCTTGTGCTTACTTTGGATATCATACCCTGGACATACTGTAATTTTTATTTGTTTATATCATACTCTGGACATACTGTAATTTTTATTTGTTTGTTTTATTTGGGACAAGGTCTTGTTATTTAGTCCCAGCTGGCCTGTCATGTGTTGTTCTGCTCAAGCTGACTTTGAAATTACAGCAATTGCCCTATTTCAAGCTCAGGAGCATTGAGATTACAGGTATGTGCCTTCATACCTGGTCTCTTACAAGGTCTAACTGACATTAAACTTGTACATATGATGGAGTGCCACATGGTGTTTGGATACCTGTATATACTGTGTGATGTTTAAATCTTGATAATCATATCTGTGTCCCCAGTCATTTCTTCACAGGGAAAAAAACTTCGAATCCTTTTAGTTGAGAAAATGTCCTTACCAGATTGGCCTGTTAGGCAATTTCTTGATTAATTATTGATAAGGGAGATTCCAGTGCTTTGTTGGTGGTCTTGAGTGGTATAATAAAGAAAGTCAAGAAAGCTATAGAAATCAAGCCAGTAAGCAGCATTCCTCTGTGCTTCTGCATCAGCTCCTGCCTCTGCTTCCTGCCTTCAGTTCCTGCCCCGATTCCTGTCAGTAATGGAGTAGCCCTGAGAGTTGTACAATGAAATAAACCCTCTCCTCCCCACGTTGTTTTTGCTTATGGTGTTTTATCCTAGCAAAAGAAACCTAAGACAACATTTTACTATAAAATGTATATTTGCTTTTTCTTTTCCCCATTTAAAATTTTAATTAAAATATAATTATATTATTTCCTCCTTGCTCATAGCCCTGCCATATGTTTCCCCCACCCCCTCCTCTTCTTTAATCATATATATATGTGATATATATATATGATTATATGAGTACACACATGTATTTGTTTTAATGTATAGATAACATACAAAAATTAGTTTTTGGTTAAATTGACTTCTTACACTTTTGTGCAATCAATATCTTCCATAACACTGGTCCTTCAGAAACACATATGCCTTAGAAAGGTGTTTCAAAGACCAGAAAACTATGAGCAGAGGTGTTGTGTTACTTTCCTTGGGAGTTGTAGACAAACATCTCCTCATTCAGGATAGAACAGTGACAGTAGACCTAAGATTCCACCCAATTCTAGCCTGGAAACTATGCATTTACCAGGTCCCTTCACTTAAGGCAGTTACATCAGTGGAGAACCTGCTCCAGCAGAGTGACAGCTCATGAAAGCTGCTCCCTGGAGCTGCACAGCTTGCAGGCGGCTCTCAAGTGGAGTCTCTTCTCACCCCTGCAGCTGTTACTGCCTCTTTAAGCTGGGGAAGGAAGGACTTTGTGACTCATTATTTTCTTAGCATCCAGTCTTATGAGCCTCCAACCTCCCTCCAAAAGGGAATATTCAACACTAAGGAAAGAGCTGCTCAGCAGACAGGAAGGCACTTTGAGACCATTGGAAACTCTCATGGCAGCCCTCTTGCTAGAGCCTTCACACCTTCCAGACCTGTTTGGAGATTTGGGAGTTGCCCTTGAAGCTTCTCGACTGACTCTGGAGGGTTGCTAAGGATAACTGTAACCAGGAGATGGCAGC